CACAGCGTGGGACAGGTGGACAGAAAAATGTGGGTGCGGAGCTGAATGGGAGCAATGCTTGATGACTCTGCTATTCTGCACACCCTGCTTTGTTACTGGAGGGAAATACTTGGCGGCCAGAACGTAAGAACATAAGAAATGCTAGATGAAAAAAGACCAAGGTCATCTAGTTCGTCTTCCATCTTCCTGGCAATTGCAGGCAAATATGTCCAAACTCCCTATGTACTTTATCCCATAATGTTATTTCCTAAAAGAAAACTATCTAGTCTGTGTTTGAAAGAATCAACACTTCCTCCTTCAACCGTCTCCCTGGTTAGCCTGTTCCACAGGTTCTCTATTCACTCACTGAAAGAGTGTTTGCATAGATTTGTTCTGAATTTACTCCCTTCAAACCCAGGCCAAATCCTCTGGTTTTACTATTTTGGACAAGTTGGAACAGCCTGTCATGATCTATATTGCCTTTTCCCTTTGAAATTTTAAAGAGAGCAATCATGTCACCTCTTAATCTTCTCTTTTCCAGTGTGAACATGCCCAATTTACTTAGTTGCTCCTCATAATCCAATCTCTCCATTCCCTCAATCATTTTGGTTGCCCTTCTCTGTATCTTGATTCTTTTTGTACTGCGGCGATCAGACTTGTACACAGTATTCGAAGTATGGTCTCACCAATGATTTATACAGTGGCAGGATGACCCACTATTTCTTCTGGCTCTTGATCTTTTGATACATCCCAACATCTGGTTTGCTTTAGTCACTGCCAGAAACCACATGATTAGCCAGGATGGGAGGAAGAGGTGGCAGCCCATGGTTCCCAGTAAACGTCTCTCTTCCTGTGCCAGGAAAGTGCGCCTGGTCACAATTCTGGGTGAGATGCTCCGATGACTCACCCACTTTACCTTGTAATTGGCTGAGGCTTGCAGAACAGCAGATTTGGTTTGAGGATCTAATCTCAATCAGATCACTATTGTCCTCAACTCCCCTGGAGGGCAGGGTGGAAGAAATCAGCCATAGCTTCCTACTCACAGGCACTGCCCCGTTACAGGTGAGGCACCAGTGTAGGCGAGTGGGTGGGTTCGTGACGTTGAATGAGGATGGGATCGGGTTTCGGTTGCGATGGACAACCCTCTCCTCAACAATGTTTATGTGTGAATGGTGGCCACTTGCGACTCCTAGCAGCTTGTGTGATCAGTCAACAAAAATAACTTGCATTTAGAAACCGGCCATTTAAGAGTGAAATCAGGAGCATTTTTTCATTCAAAAGGGGGTAGAAATCTGGGACTCTCTCACCCAAAAGGCCATGGATGCTGGATCCATCCATACCTTCAAAAATGAGGTTGATAGATTTTTAGTAGTTCAGGGGATTAAGGGATATGGAGAGAAAGCAGGAAATTGGAATTGAAAGGATTAGTTGAGGTACAGATCAGGCATGATCTAATTACATGGCGAAACAGGTTTGAAGGGCTGAGCGGCCTCCTCCTGTTCCTATGTTCCTGCACAACGCCCCTCATGCAGGGTAGCATCTTAGAGCGCTTGACACTGGTGGAGTACCACACTGAGCTGGAGGTAGGGGGAGGTGACCATAGACATGATTGAAGAGGAAGGTCTTCAAGCACGACCTGAAGCTGGGGAAGGAAGGGGGCAAGGCGGAGGGATAGAGGCAGTGCTGCTGTACCATACCAGCAGTGTATGGGCTTAAGGATCAAATGGCTAAACTGGATGGAAGGCACGCGGAAGCTTGGCTGGGACTAACAAAGAAACGTCTATTCTTGTACTTGGCAACGGTTCAGACAGGGTAATTATCACATTCCATCTTCTCACATTCCATCCTCTGGCCTCCCAGCAGCTCAGCCTCAGCACTTTTGCCATTTTCCCCCCTGGTGTCACATGCCAGGAAATTCTCAAACTGTTCCTACATTTGTGACATTTAGCAAAACGCACGACACAAAGTCAATTTGACTGCTTCCAAAAAGAACTAATTTTATCACCTTGGGAACACTGTCAGAGGACTGGTTCCAGGCAGGAGCAGACCTGGTCCAGTTCCCCACAAATTCCTAGATTCCTTTGCTCTCCAAACGCAATGATCATTAATCCTTTGGGAGTTGACAGTAAAGTGTCCGGTTCTTTTTGAAATGCTAAGTAGTTTCATGTTAACCTGTGCTGGTGATCTATCCCAAACGTGCCTTTTATTAAAATAATATCCCCCGGCCTCACTTTTCCCTCGTTGTCCATTTTTGAAGATATGATCTGAAATTTTTTTTACACAACAAAAAATATGATCTGGATACAACTTTTCCCAGCCCTTCACAATCTCAAATATCTGTACCAGATGGTGTCAGTGAGCTCAGGCTCAAAGTCTCTTGCCTCGGAGTCAAAAGATTTTGGATTCAAGCCCCACATCAGGTCTTTGAGCTGATACAGTCCAGGCTGATGCTCCAGCAGTGGGGGTGGGGGAGTGTTGCATGTCGGAGACATTTGGGTGACACATTAAACCTAAGTCCTGTCTGCCTGTTCAGGTGGATGTTAAAGATCCTGTGGCGCTATTCAAAAAGAGAAGGGAGAGTTTCTCTCTCCCAGTGTCCTGGCCAACAATTCCCCAAATAAAATTGGTCACTCACTGCATGGCGGTTTGTGGGGACTTCGCTGTGAGCAAATTGGCTGCCAAGTTCACCTACACATACAGTCACTACACTTTACACTGAATCATGTGAAGCACTTTGTGACGTCCTGGCGTGAAAGTGCTGTACGTGGCTAATCACTGCACTGATCAAAGATTACTGTGAAGCAATCAGACATTTCAGAGTGATAAGCCATTAGGTTCTATCATGTGTTACTCTTCTGGGTCCTACCTTCATGTCCAATAAAGAGAGTGGCAGCAGTGATACACCCTAACGCTGTTCCTGTCTCTCTAACGCTTTACTTTGTGATTTAATCCAGCGGGTACTCCTGTGAGCAACATTAAGCATCTGCCCACAGCACGCATCCACAGCATTCCTGCCCATTAACGTCTTTCTGTACAAGCACGGACAGAGAGGCTTGCTTTGGCTGGCAGTGACTCGCTTTGGCAGCTTTCTGCCTCTCCACACAGTATTGGGGTGTGAGTCAGGTTCCTTGGGGAATAAATGTGTTGGCACAGGCATTACCGTGAGAGAGAGAGAGCAATGGTGGGCCAGCATCCAGCAATACATCAACATCCAGAGAGGAGTGTTGAAAGCAGGGAGGGAATGAGCAAGGCAAAGGGATTTGGGGGGAGAGAGCACCACAGAGCAGAATTATAAGTGGCTGAAGACCCAGCCAGCAACAGCAGGACAGAGGGAGTCAGGAACAAGCAGTGGATCAAAGCCAAGAATGGATGGTACAGGCCGTAGAGAAGATCTGAAGGAGATTGTACGGCTAAGTACAGACTATACAAGTCTGATTAGAGGGCTATTAGCCGATCCCTTCTGGAGGGATGTGGGCCAGGGTCATGCTCCTCTAACACGTAGACCCTGGTGATTAACGTGCAATGGACGGGAATGTCGGCAGGTGTGACTGCTTACATTCCGATTTAACCCTCAGCACAGAGACTCCCCCACAGACAAGGGAACAGGGTTACTGAGGGCAGAGCTGTCCACACTGAGCAAATGGGGAACCTGGAGGGCAGAGCAGGGGAGAGGTTAACAAGAGGAAGATGGAATGTGAGGAGTCAGATGGGAACAACAACAACAAATAACATTTACACAGCACCTTTCATGGCGGGAAAACGTCCCAAGGCACTCGATAGTCAGGGATTTGGACCCAAGCTGGGGGTTGGGATCAGGAGGGGTGTTGGGGGCGAATGACCGAAGACACGGTCGAAGAGGAGGGTCTTGAGAACCAGGGGGAGCTGTAGTAAATTTGTATCAAAACTTTGGGGGGGCGTGCCGTGTAACCAAAAGGAGGCACACTCTCTGGGGGTGGGGTCATGCTGTCTGGGGGGTGATGGTCAGCTTGTCTGGGGGGGGCGGGCAGGCTGTCTGGGGGGGAGGTCAGAATGTCCGGGGGGTTGGGGGCAGGCTGTGGGGGGGAGCAGGTTGTTGGGGGGGGGCAGGCTGTCTGGGCGGGGTCAGAATGTCCAGGGGGGGTCAGAATGTCTGAGGGGGTAGGAGGGCAGGTTGTCAGGGGAGTGGGCAGGGAGGGGGGCAGGCTGTCTGGGGGGGGGCAGGCTGTCTGGGGGCGGTCAGAATGTCCGGGGAAGGGGCAGGCTGGGGGGAGGAGCAGGCTGTTGGGGCGCGGCAGGCTGTCTGGGGTGGGGGTGGGCAGGCTGTCTGGGGAGGCAGGCCATTGGGAGGGGGTGGGCTGGCTGTCGGGAGGGGGGGCAGGCTGTCTGGGGGGGGGGCAGCCTGTCTGTGGGGGCTGCAGGCTGTGGGGCAGGCTGCCCCCCCCCAGAGAGCCTGCCCCCCCCCCAGACAGCCTGTCTGGGGGGGAGGGTGGGCTGTCGGGTGGGGGGTGGGCCATCGGGGTGGGGGGGGGGCGTCTGGTGGTGGTGGGTGGGAGGCTGTGGGGGGGCGGGTGGTGTGGGCGGGAGGGGTACTGTGTGGGAGGGGGGAGGCTGTGGGCAGGGGCTGTGGGGGTGGGGCTGTCGGGGGGGGGGGCTGTGGGGGGGCTATGGGGTTGTGGGGGGGGGGCTATGGGGCTGTGGGCGGGGGGGCAATATGGGGCGCTGTGGGGCCGCTGTGGGGCTGTGGGGGGCGCTGTGGGGCTGTGGGGAGGGCTGTGGGGCTGTGGGGGGCGCTGTGGGGCCGCTGTGGGGCTGTGGGGGGCGCTGTGGGGCGTGGGGCTGTGGGGGGCGCTGTGGGGAGGGCTGTGGGGCTGTGGGGGGCGCTGTGGGAGGCGCTGTGGGGCTGTGGGGAGGGCTGTGGGGCTGTGGGGGGCGCTGTGGGGCTGTGGGGGGCGCTGTGGGGCCGCTGTGGGGCTGTGGGGGGCGCTGTGGGGCTGTGGGGGGCGGACGCTCGCGGAGATGAGTCGCGCGCTGATGACGCAGAGCGACACCACGTCAGCGGGGCCAAGATGGCGGCGGAGCGGGAGCCGGCGGTAACATCACCATATACACCGCGTACACTCCTTACACACCCATCATATACACCGTATACACCGTCTACACTCATCATATACACTGTATAAACTGTTTATACTCATATACACTTTATACACCGTGTACACTCACCATATACATTGTATACACTGTGTACACTCATCATATACACTGTGTACACTCATCATATACATTGTATACACTGTGTACACTCATCATATACACTGTATAAACTGTTTATACTCATCATATACACTTTGTACACTGTGTACACTCATCTATACCTTTTACACTCATCATGTGGGGATCTGATCCACGTTGCTGTGTAGTTTGCAGGCTTGGCTGACGTCTCCATATCTGACGATGTCCCTGTGGAGGGGCAGATCACTGTTCCTCTCAGTTCGCAGTCACAGGACGACGATTACTCCACCCTGGACGAGCCTGTCAAGGACACCATTGTAAGTAGCGCCCAAACCTCCCAGTCTTGTTTCATTGGACAATTCCCTCCCAGGATCCAGCTGACGGCTGTCTGAGGGACTGTGCAGATAGATGGGGACAGCAGATACTGGGTTGCAATGAGCCTGAGGACTCTGTAAAAGTAAAATCAGGAATTCCTGAGCGGGTTGGCCAGAATCCGGTGCCAGAAGGCAAACTCGCGCTGTGGAGAGAAACATGAGCAGGAGCTGCTTTCATGTTTAAAATAAATTAATATTCAGGGCTCACTGACTTCAGTCTTTGTCAAAGTGACAGCAAGTGTGGAGGCACCCTGCCCGCCTTTGCTCCCTGTCACGTGTGTTGGTGTCGTGTGGATTTCAATGACAGCCGGAATCTGTACTATACATGTATAATCACCAGGGCTGTACATGGTTCTAACTGAATGAATCTCATTTGGAAGCTATTTGTTGTGTGAGTGGTTTACCCGCTCCCGGTCTCTGCCTCCTCTCCCGATCTCTGCCTCCTCTCCCGGTCTCTGCCTCCTCTCCCGGTCTCTGCCTCTTCCCAAAGACAATGAGATGGTTCCAATCACAGAGCTCAGACATTGATGTAACATTCCTCCCTCACAGACTGTCACAGAGGCAGTGACTGGGAGGCGACGATGGAGCGAGGTCTAGTTGGGGAACTGTGTTGTGAGGGGCTGAATGATCTCCTGTCCTTGTGTTTGTCTGCCTGTCCGACATCAAGTCTTGGACGAGGGCCAACTTTCTCCAACTGAACATCAGCAAGACTGAGGCCCTCCTGATTGGCTCGCGCCAGTGCCTCCGCACCTCAGGTGCTGACAGCATCAGCCTCCACGGCTGCACACTCAACCTCACTGAGCCAGTCAGGAACCTGGGGGTCTTGTTTGACCTTGAACTGTCCTTTCTCCCCCACATCTGCGCCATGACCGGCACTGCCTACCTCCACCTCCGAAACATTATAATAATAATCCTTGCATTTGATATAGCGCTTTTCACGTCTTCTCGACATTTCAAAGCGCTTCACAGAATAGACTAAAGTGAATTGACTGTATATTGACTGTACATTGCCAGACTCCGCCACTGCCTCACCCCTCAGGCTGCTGAAACCCTCACCCAGGCATTTGTCACCTCAAGGCTTGATTATGGGAACTCCCTCCTCATTGGCCTTCCCAACTCTTCCCTTCACAAGCTGCAGATCATCCAAAACTCTGCAGCTCGTGTACTCTCATGCACCAGGCTCCGTGACCTCATCACTCCTACCCTCGCCCGATTCCAATGGCTCCCCATCCCCCAGAGGATCGAGTTCAAGATCCTCGTTCTCACCTTTAAGGCCATCCATGGCCTTGCCCCCTCCTACCTCTCTGACCTGCTGACTCCCTGCCAACCTGCCCACTCCCTCCGTTCAGCGGGCTCCGGCCTGCTCCATGTCTCCCGCCCGAGCCGCCCTCCTATCGGTGGTCGGACTTTCAGCCTCTCTACCCCCACACTCTGGAACTCCATCCCACGGTCCCTTCGCATCGCTTCCTCCCTTACCTCCTTCAAGGCCGGTCTCAAGACCCTCCTCTTCGATCGTGCCTTCGGTCACCCTCCCACCTCTCTGCCTTCCCTCACTCCAAACCCACCCCTACCCCATGCTCGGGTCCTGACCCCTGACTGTCCAGCATCTTGGGACGTTCTCCCGACGTGAAAGGCGCTCTATAAATGTAATTTTGTTGTTGTTGTTTGTCACAGTGCACACTGTAGATGTAATAAATCTGTGTGTGGGTCGCAGTGAATGTGGTGTGTTGCCCGTTCCCTGGTTGTGTAACAGTGACATCTCCTAATTTTCCTTCCTCGTTTCTCAGATGCGAGACCTGAAGGCCGTCGGGAAGAAGTTTGTGTACGTTATGTACCCACGAAAGAGCAGCTCCCTCCTGAGAGACTGTGAGTGATGCTGTGCTCCCCCATGGCACTGTCTGCCGCCTCTGAAATGCAGTATGTTTGAAGGATTTAGTGAATAAATCCTCTGCCTCACTCGGTGATGAGTCACACAGACCAGGCTGATCTCAGGCTCAAATCCCATAATGTGCTGAACTAGTCAATTAGCTTTGGTGCCTCTGGGCTAAGGAGTGACAAAGATCAGCCTGGTCCTGCTGATCACCATTCCTTGCCAACAACATGCCTCACATGCATGGGAAGCTGTGTGTGCTGAAGCCAACGTAAGACAGCACCAGCGGGAGAGGAGGGAAATCTGTAACTGGACTACAAATTGCTCTGTGTTATGTCCCTGTGAGGGGATGGGTAGAGGCGGTGAGGTGGGGGATGGGTTGAGACAATGAGTGGGGTGGATGAGGGAATGAGAGGGATGAGTTGAGGCAGTGATTGGGGGTTGTTGTAGTCAGCCCCATGAAGCCTTCTCTGGTCACCACGTGAGCCGCCAGGGCTAATCCTGCTCACCCCTCTCCCAATAATATACACCTTATGCACCTCTGCCCTCCAGCAAGACCACAGGTCCTGGGACAAGTATTCTCGCAGGTCCTGGGCTTCAGCCCTGATGGAGTGAGCAGCGGCTGAGTTACTGGAGAAACAAATGACATTTAATCAGCATTCTGCAGTATCGCGTTCTATCAACAGGGGGCAGCTCACTGCTTACTGTGGCACACTGGCGCCGTCCAGTGGCGGGAGCCGGGAACTGCAGGATTACAAGCATCGGCACTGTGCGCTCGTCTTCCCGATGGCAACCTGTGGATCTGCTATTAATAATAATAATAATCCTGGCATTTGATACAGCGCCTCATCACGTCTTGGAGACGTCTCAAAGCGCTTCACAGGATACAAATAAATAAATAAATAAATATAAATAAATAGATAACAAAATAGAGCCCTTTAGCTTAGTGGTTAGTGAGCTCACCTTGCAAGCGAGAGGGCCTGGGTTTGATTCCCGGGCAAGTCGAATAAAGAAAGAAAGAAACAAACAAACAAACAAAGAAACAAACAAACAAAGAAACAAAGAGTGCAGTGACTGTATATTTTGTGAGCGAAACGCGGCAGGTAATTGCGCACAGCAGTGTGGAGGATTTGGTCACTCAATTCACAAACAATTTTTTTTTTAAGGGATTATTACCCCCGGAAAAGTAGTACGCCAATCGACTAACAACTGGGTTCTTACTTACTGTTGGGTATACAGAGCCGTGTGGAGTAAGGAAACTTGCCCATCGTTTCACCTTGCCCGGGAATCGAAAGGCGAGCTCGCTAACCACTAAGCTAAAGGGCTCTATTTTGTTTTCTGTGTTGTGTGAATTAATTACATGTTTCTCTGTTGCAGGGGATCTGTGGGGCCCTCTCATACTCTGTGTTTTATTAGCAATGTAAGTAACCCCCCAGGCCTTTTTATTCCCTGTGTTTTAATCTGCTCGAGGTCCCCACCCCCAGGGAGCAGGGAATGGGGACCATGGATGCAAATCCTTCCCCAACAAACCCGGTGCTGAGGCCAGTTATAGCCTCAGCTGCTGCTCGGCTGAAACCAGCTCTCTCAGCAGCTTAAACCCCTGGTCACTGACTGCCTGACAGCTGGGACCTGACTCACTGGCTGGCTGTTTGCTTTGAACGTTCCTCAGGAGCGCTCTTGTAGCCATTTTTCACCACGGCTGAGCCTAGATACGAGGGTAACAGTTCCTGGGTTTAGAGCGGCCCAGGAGTTCATCTAAAGAGGTCAGTTCATGGTCAAACCCGGCCCACACCAGACCCCCTCCCCCAGACCCTCCTCCACATCCCTCCTCCCCCAGACCCTCTCTCACATTCCTCCTCACCCAGACCCTCCCTCACATCCCTTCTCCCTCAGACCGTCCCCCCCAGACCCTTTCCTCCAGACACCCTGCCCAGCCCTAATCATCAGCAGCTAAACATGGCATCCCACTTGACTGTAATGGGTTGTCAAACACTGTAAATGGCTGTTTGTCTCACTGTGACATTCTCTGCAGGATGATGCAGGGCAGTAACATTGACAGTAAGCACGATGGGGGGCCACAGTTTGCCGAGGTCTTTGTCATCGTCTGGTTCGGTGCTGTTGTCATCACCCTCAACTCCAAGCTGCTGGGGGGCACCATGTGAGTTGGTCAAGTATGTGGGTAAATGTCTTCAAACATTTGAAGTGTGGGCGCGGGGGGTTGGAATGAATTGGAGTCAGTGACCTGGGTTCACAGCTGGACAAAGAGCAGCTGTGACTGAGACTGACTAACTGGCCGCATGTTACTGGCTCATGTGATCTCACCATGCGATATTGGCTATGGGAATGAAAGGAATGCTCTACGTCCCATCCCCAGTTGCTTGTGACTAAAGATTCATGTGGAAGATGGGAACATTAACCCGCTTTTTCTCTCTCTCTGGTTCCCAGCTCCTTCTTCCAGAGCCTGTGTGTGCTGGGTTACTGCGTGTTGCCGCTCACTGTAGCCATGATCATCTGCTCACTGATCCGCCTGGCTCCGCACTCCAGCACCTCCCAGATCCCCATGGCGGTGGTTATAATCCGCTTCATTATTGTGCTCGCCGCCTTCGGCTGGTCAACGTTTGGTAAGGAAACCGGCAGCAAGTTTTGGGGGAGAAGGACAGGGGATGGAGTAACGGGCTGAGGAAGATGGGAGATGTGTTTAACGTGTCTGAGTGCGATGCTGTGTAATTCTCTCTCTTTTTCTCTGCTCGGTGCTGCACCAGCCTCCACAGCATTCCTGGCCGACATGCAGCCTCCACACCGCAAGGCCCTCGCTGTCTACCCCATATTCCTCTTCTACTTTGTCATCAGCTGGATGATCATCTCCAACACGTCTGCCTGAGAGACCCTCCCCAAGAAAGAGAGAGAGAGAGAGACGGGGAAGGGAACCCTCTCAGCTCTCGGACATAAACCTAGGAGATTCCCATTGCAGAGCGGCAGGCGGGGGTGGGGTGGGGCGGGGGAGCTGAGAGCCACTCGTCTGTGCTGTGTATATTATTGATGTACAATTCTCAGAGCCAGCACAAGAGGTGTCCTCGCGGGGGACAGACTGTGGAGAAAGCTGGAGGCTTTTGTAGAAGCTCCGCAGCCTCAGACTCTCGCAGTGAGTGGCTCTCTCTCTGCTCGGCCTTTCTCTTTCTGAATTTTGTGTTTTAAGAAAATTATTTATTTTATCAGGGAAGCGGGGTTGGACTGACGAAAGTTTAGGACCAAATTTACTTTGATTTATTTTGATTATTTCTCTCTTCACTGTTATTCTCTCACCCCCAACACTGATTCATGGACCTTTTAAGTGTTTTTCAGCGTAGTTTAATTTGGTAGTGATGTGTGTGTGCGTGTGTGAGCACGCACATGCGTGTGTACATACGTTTGTGTAAGTGGGCGTGTGTGTTTAGGTGCATGCGTGTGCTTGTGTAGGTGTGAGCGCATGTGGGAGTGCGAGTAGGTGAGTGTTCGAGTGTGTAGGTGAGTGTGCGAGTGCGTGAGTATGTAGGTGTGCGCGTGTGTAGGTGTGCCTGTTTGTAGATATGTGCGTGCGAGTGTGTAGGTGTGTGTGTGTGATCTTTACTAGGATTCTGAGAGTGGGCTGTATGGACTGTGGACCTGAGTTGGAATCTGGTTCACCTGAAGGAAAAAAAAACCTCTTTTCCTTCTGTATTGACTGTGTGGGATATTCACTTCCTTGGGGCCGGGGATCAGCCAGCGAGCAAACTCACACTGGGAACAGGGGAATCTCCCGTCTCTGGGAAGCGCAGGGAGCAATCCTGAATTTTTGAAGCCTTAATGTAATGTGAAGTTTCCAATGTAAATACCTGCACCCTGTGTGTTTATAGAATGACTGATTTACTACCGCAGACTCAGGCTATTATTTTCTGTCCTTTGTTCTGCTCTTCCACTCGGCCTTTCCTCACCACCATCACTGGCCGAGCCCTCCCTCACTGCACTCCTAATCTCAGAGAACTCCTTGCCTCTGTCTCTCTGTTTCGCCCCCTTTTTATCTCTAATTTCCACCTTAAAAATTTTCTCTTCAATCACGCCTATGACCATCTCACCCTCTCCTCCCTTGCTCAGGATCCGACCCCTAACTCACCTCCTTCAAGGCCCATCTCAAGACTTCCTCTTTGATGGTACTTTTGGCCACACTCCCACCCCACCATTTGCCCTCAACCACTTTTATTCCAACCCCCAGCTCAGGTGCTAACCCTCACTGTCCAGCGCCTTGGGATGTCCTCCCGACGTGAAAAGCGCTGTGTAAACATGGAAAACACAAAACACCATGAAGTACTCCCAACATGTTATCCTATGTGAAGGATGCTGTATAAATGCAAGTTGTTGTTGTGCTGTGCATGTGTGTATGCATGCACATGTACATGTTTGTACCTGCACATGTGTGTGCCCCGGGAGGAGATTGCGCGGAGACCCAGCGAACACAAACTGAGTTCTCGGCAGCTGAAACCAGAGATTTGAGGACGGAGAAAGGTTTCGGTGCAGTTGGATTGCTGATTGTCTGAACAGCGGACACCGAGAAGAGGTGCCTGGATTTGCTTTGGGTTCAGCCCCACACACCCCTGGGGTCAGCCCCGTCCACACTGGTCAGTGTCTCCAACCTCCAGGATCAGCCCTGCACACTCTGGTCAACTCCTTGCACCCTGGGGTCAGCCCACCCCCCAGGACAGCTCTGCCCACCCCCCAGGACAGCTCTGCCCACCCCTAGGATTAGTGTTGCCTGAGGGAGGAGTCCCATTGGAGGAGGTGGTGAGGGAAGGAGAAGGAAGGCTTGGGGAGTAAGGGATGGACTAAAGTGAAGCATTAGCAACACGGCAGGGGAGGGTGTGGTGGGAGCTTGGTTCATTGCCTTCTGTTTACAGACACTCAAACCTGATGGTCTGAAGGCTTGTCTCGCTCTGTAATGACTGCCTGGTCCTGACAGCACACGCATTAAATAAAGGTTACGAGCAGAGTGGAATGGGGAGTGTTCCCTTTGTGTAGTGACTGCCTAAAACAACAGTTACCTCGGGTAATGGGGGGGGGGCACTGGGTGGCCAGTGTGAGGTGTGTGTGGGTTGGCACTAAATGGGAAATGTTACTGAGACAGTGTCACAGTCAGGAAACACTCCCACACTCGCTGTTTCCAGATGCGCTTCTCCACATGAAATGGTTTCCTGCGTCGGATCCCCAGTTTTCCTAGTGAGTGTGCAGCTGATGTAAACACATCTCCGCTCCCCAACTGGGAATGATTCTCTCCCAAGTGGCCAGGCAATGAGTTACGAGCAACGATTAAGACAAGCCAGGGCTCTTCAGTCTCAAAGAGACATCTATAGAAGGGGACCTTAAATAGGTGTAACAACATTTTAAATGGGATTGAGACAGAATGAGGAGGTTTGAATTGTAATGGGGAACATTTTCAGTGCTGACTGCAGGCAGGTTTTCCCTGGAGGGAGACCCACACATTGAGGGACAGCCATACAGAGTTAGACACACAGAGCGAGAGGCACAGAGGGAGTTCACAGCACTGGGACTCCATACAGCGGTTGACCATCAGGTCCACAGAAGCCAACGCAACGCTATGACGTGGATGGAATTGTGGGCGTTTACTCTGAAGGCAAAAACATACACCACACTTTACAGTATATTCTGGGAAGCGCCTTGTGACGTCTCAAAGACCTGATGGGATTATTATTATCATCTCACAAAATGGTAGGTTGCACTCAACTCTCCTGTGGTCATTCCAGGTCGCAGTGGTGGGTTGGGGGTGTGGGGTCTTCTACATAAAATAACACCCCTCCCCACCCATTAGAATGAGTTACAGGCGGGAGTCTAATGGGAGTGGGGGTAAATATAGAATAGTGGCCCCGGCCTCTGTGAGGGGCAGGAAGGGGGTCATATTGCGGTGGGTGGTGAAGGGGCTCCATCAGCAGCAGCTAAATGCTGACCTGGACCTGGTCAATATGATGGAATATGAGGTTAAAGGTTGGGATACAGTTTTCACACCATCTCTCAGTGACACACACCCTCTCTCAGCAGCTGCCCCCCCGCCGGCGGCTGACAGACCCGGGACCCCACACCCATTCACTCTCTCTCTCTCTCACACACCGAGTGCTGGCGCTCTGCCCGGAGCTGCCCTGGACTCTGAGCCGGGACAGGGCAGCCCATTGGCCGGGACTCAGCGAGAGAGCCGCTTTCCCCCTCACTCCCCGCATGGCCACCGGGACAGGAGCTGCCTGAGCCTCCGCTGCCGGTGAGTCTAACCCTGACCGTCACAGCGGCCCTGGGCCACGACTGACAGAGAGACAGACAGGCAATGGGAGAGAGAGTGGGAGAGTGAGTGAGAGAGAGAGAGAGTGGGAGAGTGAGTGAGAGAGAGAGAGAGAGAATGAGTGAGAGAGAGTGGGAGAATGAGTGAGAGAGAGAGAGTGAATGACAGTGAAACAGTGAATGAGAAAGAACGAGTGAGGCTCAGGCATTAAACGATCTGCCGAGATCTAATTAACTGGTGGAACAGTCTGGATGGGCTGAATGGCCTCCTCCTGCGCTCTGTGAGCTGCAGGAATGTTTAGGGTGTGACTGACTGACTGCCCACTTATACAGTAAACTGAATGTGTTTTTATTGCTTTATTGCAGATCTGAGCTTGTGTGTTAGTCACTTATTTTACAAAGGTCAGGAAGTTCTCCTGAACCCAGTCCCAGCGCCGCCCTCCACTACACTGTCCAGCCCCCAGCCCAGCCCCCAATTGCCCATCCCAGCTCCGCTCCGTTCAGCACTCAACAACAACTTGTGTTTGTATAACCCTCTCGTGCAAGATAGTGTCCCAGACGCTTAAACCACACACACAGAGGTGCCATCTCTGATTCTGCAGCTGTGAGTGTGAGCTCACACTCTTGATTCAGAACAATAACATTGCTGAGATCTGATGTGCCATCAGTGTGGTATTTCCTGTCTGAATCTTGAATGGGATAAAGGAAAGTGTCTCAGTCTGATCTCGACTTTGATCAGCCCGTTTCTATCTACCCAGCCCTCGGCGCCTCAACGCTATTCCTCTCGGCAGAGATAAGAGGAGAGACTGAACACAAGCACACAGGAATCCAACCACAAACCTAGAAATGTCCCGCATCATCAGCACTGAGAACATTCATACCTCTCTCCCTCTCTCTTTCCCTCTCCCTCTCTGCCTCTAACCTGTGGTGTTTCTGACCTGGGAGTGTGGACGGACAGTGTAGACAACAACAACAAAATTACATTTGTAAAGTGCCTTTCACGTTGGGAGGATGTCCCAAGGTGCTGGACAGACAGAGTTTCGGACTTGAGCTGGGGGGCAGGATTTGAGAGGGTGGAGAGCAGTGGGTGAAGCAAGGTGATCGAAAGCATGGTTGAAGAGGAGAGTCGTGAGATGGGTCTTGAAGGAGGCAAGGGAGGGGGTGAGGCAGAGGGACTATGGGATGGAGTTCCAGAGGGTGGGAGCAAAATGACAGAAGACCTGCCCGCCAATGGTGGGCCCGCCTATGGAGGAAGAAGTTGGGGAGGCCGACAAGCAAGGAGTTTGCATAGTCAAGCCTCAATGTTATGAATGCATACATCCACACTCCCAGGTCAGGGTCAGAGACACAGCTTTACTGTGTCTCTAACCCTGACCTGGGAGTGTGGACGCACAGTGTAGAGGGAGTTTTACTGTGTCTCTGACCCTTACCTGGGAGTGTGGACGCACAGTGTAGAGGGAGCTTTACTGCGTCTCTAACCCTGACCTGGGAGTGTGGACGCACAGTGTAAAGGAAGCTTTACTGTGTCTCTGACCCTTACCTGGGAGTGTGGACCTACAGTGTAGAGGGAGCTTTACTGTGTCTCTAACCCTGACCTGGGAGTGTGGGCGCACAGTGTAAAGGAAGCTTTACTGTGTCTCTGACGCTGACCTGGGGGTGTGGACGGACAGTGATCTCGCTGTGGAATGAAATGTACTGCGAGATGGTGTTGGGGAGGAGGCAAGTCTTCACCATTGCCCACTGACCTCCTGACCTCGGGGAATGTGAACCATCTCCTCTCATCCCTCTCTCAGCTGCTGTGGAGCACGTTGTGCAGGACCATGTAGAGTATGGTGGAGTCCTGTAGAGTAGAGGGTAGGTGCCTCACCTTGCAGTGAGAGGACCTGAGTTGAATTCTCGGGCAGGGCGAAACTTTCGGCAAGTTTCCTTACTCCACACTCCTCTGTTTACCAGCAGTAAGTAGGAACCCGGCTATTAGTGGTTTGTCAGATTGCTTTCTGGGGGCAATAATTGCTTCAAAATAAAGAAAGAATCTCCATGCTGTCTCTCTCCAGGGTCTCGGGATGGAATTGCCAGCCTCCCTGTCCTCTGGAAGTCACAGGTCAGTGAGGCTGTGGCCACAATTCGGGAATGTGGGACAGGATGTGGGCCATAACCACTGACTAAGGATGAAGAGAATCGGAGACTCAGGAGGGGAGAGCGTGCCAGTTGCCGTGGTGATGGACGCGGGTAGCGGTGTAGCTGAGCCGGTGACCGGGAGTCGCCTGCGGGTAGTGAAGCACCAAGGCAGCACCATCTGCTTCTCCCAGCCCAGCATGGAGTCTGAGGGCCAGCGAGGGGGAGAGCTACCCACCAGGAGGGCAGACATGGCTGTGAAGGGAGGGGAGGGGCTGCAGGATCTCGCAATGGGATGTGCAACTGTACGACCTCTGTGTTGCCTCCCCAACCCCGATAACCCAACCCTCGGCGACACGGAAGAAGGGAGCGATGCTGCGATCACGGTCAGTAACTGCAAAACTCGTCCCATTTTTGGCCTCATGTGAAAGAGATCAATGCAGTACTGATTGGAACAATCCCATAGCACGGGTTAGAGACACAGTAAAGCTCCCTCTACACTGTGCGTCCGTCCACACACCCAGGTCAGGGTTAGAGACGCAGTAAAGCTCCCTCTACACTGTGCGTCCGTCCACACACCCAGGTCAGGGTTAGAGACACAGTAAAGCTCCCTCTACACTGTGCGTCCGTCCACACTCCCAGGTCAGGATTAGAGACACAGTAAAGCTCCCTCTGCACTGTGCGTCCACACTCCCAGGTCAGGATTAGAGACAATAAAGCTCCCTCTACATTGTGCGTCCACACTCCCAGGTCAGGGTTAGAGACACAGTAAAGCCCCCCCTACACTGTGCGTCCACACTCCCAGGTCAGGGTAAGAGACAGGCCTGGGGTTCGCTTGCACGGAGTTGCATTGCTGATCTCTCCGCCCGCTTGATTTCCAGGTGCTGCCATGGTTGCCAGAATCCTGCTGTGCTGGTAAGTGATGCACATACCCTCGAGCCGGCCTCCTGACGTGCAAGGCGCTGTATAAATGTGTAAATACGTAAATGTATATGCTAAAGCCTCCACGTCCAAAATTGTTCATTCATGTCCTGGCTTTTTGAGGGAAGTTACTGTGTGTAAATCAGCTGCTGCATTCATCTACACAACACAGTCACTACACGTAAAAGTGATTCCCTGTGAGGCAGTTTGAGACGTGTTCATGTCCTCGTTGCAGTGTGAAGTCTTGAGGGTTTGTAATGATTGTTATTCACACAATAAGTGGAAGCAGAAGTGTGAGGTTAGAGGAAGTGAGAGCTGCTGGTGGGGAGTGGCGGGGGGGGGGGGACAGTGTGATTGAGCCTCAGGACAGCTGTGTGACTGGGAGCCACCCAGGTCAGCCTTGGACACGGTGACACAGCGAGACACGTGTCTAGGCTGATCCTCCAAAGGATGGGGTCCTTTCTTAATAATAATACTAATCTATTCATTTGATATAGCGCATTATCACGTCGTTGTGACGTCTCAAGGCGCTTCACAGGATACACTGTAAAATGAATTAACTGGATATATTTGGGCAAATGCGGCAGCCATATTGCCTGATGTAGGGCTTGAACCACAGCCTTGTGAGTCAGAGGCAAGAGTGCTACCACCGAGCCGGGCTGACACACGCACCGAGCCGGGCTGACACACTCACCGAGCCGGGCTGACACACTCACCGAGCCGGGCTGACACACTCACCGAGCCGGGCTGACACACTCACCGAGCCGGGCTGACACACTCACCGAGCCGGGCTGACACACTCACCGAGCCGGGCTGACACACGCACCGAGCCGGGCTGACACACGCACCGAGCCGGGCTGACACACTCACTGAGCCGGGCTGACACACTCACCGAGCCGGGCTGACACACGCACCGAGCCGGGCTGACACACTCACCGAGCCGGGCTGACACACGCACCGAGCCGGGCTGACACACGCACCGAATGGGGCTGACACACTCACCGAGCGGGGCTGACACACGCACCGAATGGGGCTGACACACGCACCGAGCGGGGCTGACACACGCACGGAGCCGGGCTGACACACGCACCGAATGGGGCTGACACACTCACCGAGCGGGGCTGACACACGCACAGAGCGGGGCTGACATGTGCCGAGAGGGGCTGACACACGCACACACACTGAGCCGGGCTGACACACACACACTGAGCCGGGCTGACACACACACACTGAGCCGGGCTGACACACACACACTGAGCCGGGCTGACACACACACACTGAGCCGGGCTGACACACACACACTGAGCCGGGCTGACACACACACACACTGAGCCGGGCTGACACTGATCTTTTTTTTATCAAAAATGAATCTGAGGAGTGATGTTGATTCTCTGAAACGTTTAGGAATGTTGACAGTTTGGGAAAGTTTGGGGGAATATTGGCAGCTGCTAAAGTGTGGGGCAGTTGCAGTGCGGTTGCTGCCCCCAAGCGGTTGTAGATGTTTAATGAGCTGAGTATCGTACAGTGGAGAGTGTGTGTGTGTGTCTCTCTCTCTCTCTCTCTCTGTGATTGTGCTCTGGTGCTCTAACCTCAGTCCCGGCATTTTACAGAACCAGCTACAGGGGAGAGGTGACTGTGAGGAAGTTCTCCTGCTGTGTGTGTCAGGCTGGTGTGTGCCAGGCTGTGTGTGCCAGGCTGTGTGTGTGCCAGGCTGTGTGTGTGCCAGGCTGTGTGTGTGCCAGGCTGTGTGTGCCAGGCTGTGTGTGCCAGGCTGTGTGTGTGCCAGGCTGTGTGTGCCAGGCTGTGTGTGCCAGGCTGTGTGTGCCAGGCTGTGTGTGCCAGGCTGTGTGTGTGTGTGCCAGCGCCGGGAGCAGAGCGCTGCGCTCACAATGCTTAGAGCCCCGCTGGCGGCAGCGAGTCCCGTTACAAGCCGGCCCGCGGGCCGCCAAGGCTGGGGCGATGGATGGTTCCGAGCCGCCACGGATGTCCCGGAGGGCTGCCAGCTTCTCCTTCAAGAGCTTACGGTGGCGTTTGACTAAAATGAACAGGCGGCGCACAGTAGGTAGGAAAAGTGAGGCTTTCCCCCACGTTTGGGTGTGTTTGTCTTTGGAATTCTACACATTAGCAATAAACACAATACTGTACCTGGGGGTAGGAATACACTGGTGTGTGAGGGTCAGGGTGTGTGTGAGGGTCAGGGTGTGTGTGTGTGTGAGGGTCAGGGTGTGTGTGTGAGGGTCAGGGTATGTGTGTGAGGGTCAGGGTGTGTGTGTGTGAGGGTCAGGGTATGGGTGTGAGGGTCAGGGTATGTGTGTGAGGGTCAGGGTATGTGAGGGTGAGGGTCAGGGTGTGTGTGTGAGGGTCAGGGTATGTGTGTGAGGGTCAGGGTATGTGAGGGTGAGGGTCAGGGTGTGTGTGTGAGGGTCAGGGTGTGTGTGTGAGGGTCAGGGTATGTGAGGGTGTGTGTGTGAGGGTCAGGGTATGTGAGGGTGTGTGTGTGAGGGTCAGTGTGTGTGTGTGTGAGGGTCAGTGTGTGTGTGTGTGAGGGTCAGTGTGTGTGTGTGTGTGTGTGTGTGTTTAACCCCTTGTTGTACTGTGAGTGTGAGTGTAAGTTGTGCTGAGGGTGTGGACGCTGTGAGTGCTTTGCTGCTCCCGTTGCTGTGTCAGTGCCAGTGGGTGTGCCAGTGTGTGCCGGGGGCTGCGGGCCTGATCCTGGGCAGTGCCAGGCTGAGTGGGCAGCGCTGCCAGTGACAGGGACGTCGGCCACACTCGCTGTGGCTTCACTGGTTTTCACTTGCACTAAATCCCGGGATTCCCCCCGGGGTGGGGGGGGGGGGGGGGGCGCCTTCCCCTTAATCAGAGGGAGCGGGTGAGTGACTCACTCTCCCTCACACTTCCCTTTTTGAGTGGCTTCAGGTCTCTTTTTTTGGTCGCCCACTCGGGCAGTTCCCCTTCGGGTTATGTGCAGACCGGGCGGGGGGGGGAGGGGGGGAGACGGGACAGTTTGCTCACCATGAAGTTGCCCCGATGTGGTATGTGGGTGTTTGGATGGAAATTCTCACTGAGGGGCGCGGGGGGTAATTAATGGACTGACAGCTTCTCTGTGTGTATCCCTTTGTCTGTCTCTGTCTGTCTCTGTCTCTCTGTCTCTCTGTTTGTCTCTGTCTCTATGTTTCTCTGTCTGTCTCTGTCTCTGTTTCTCTCTGTCTCTCTGTCTGTCTCTGTCTCTGTCTCTCTCTCTGTCTCTATGTCTGTCTCTGTCTCTCTGTTTCTCTCTGTCTGTCTTTGTCTCTCTGTCTCTGTCTGTGTCTGTCTCTGTCTCTCTGCCTGTCTCTGCCTCTCTCTGTGTCTCTCTGTCTGTCTTTGTCTCTCTGTCTGTGTCTGTCTCTATGCCTGTGCAGTATTCTGTGCGAAGCTGATGTTTCCAGTCAGTGACCGCTCAGATTCCAGTTCCTCTCCAGTCAGGAGGTCTCAGGAAGGACAAAGCCGCCCTGTGTGAGGGGGAAATGGATTTAACTCTTAAAGCCTCTCCGCCCACACAGACCATTTCATTACTCAGAAACCGAACTCAGGGGCAGAGGCACCGAGGCTGGAGCCAGTCAGTCAGTCAGTCAATGAGGAGATGCACCAGGAAATGGTGCTTTGTGACAAATACAAATTAACATTCATATAAATACCTCATATAATGCTTCACCTTAAATTCTGTAGAGTGTAGGAGGAAGGGAAGAGGGGGAATCTCCTGTGGCCTGTGTTAGTTGAAGTGGAGAAAGAACCTTTCTCATTCCCTTCATATTGGTGGAGTCCTGTAGCTCAGTGGTTAGAGCACTCGCTTTGCAAACGAGAGACCTGAGTTCAATTCCAGGCAGAGGGCGAAACCTTGGGCAAGTTTCCTTACTCCACACAGAGCCTAATAATAATCCCTCCAAAACCAAAAACAATAATAAATTGGTCATTTTCAATCTACGACTGTTTGTGGGACATTGCTGTGCGCAATTGGCTGCCGCGTTCGCCCACAAATATACAGTCAATTCACTTTACAGTGTGTTCTGTGAAGCGCTTTGGAATGTCCTCCCGACGTGAAAAGCACTATATCAAATGCAAGGATTATTATTATTATATTCCTTCACAAGTTAATAAGTCGTTACCCTGTGAACCAGTGTCTGAAAGGCAGCAGTGATGGAGTGGCCAGGGCCTGGGTGTTGGGATCAGTGGCCCTCAGTGCTATCTGCCTTGGGACGTCCTCTCAATGTAAGAGGCACGATACAAATGTAATTTGTTGTTGTTGTTGCCCATTGCTGCCCAGGCCGGGTCCCCTCGCTGTGCTCTCGCTCGCTGCTCTGTGTGTGTTAGACACTATTGGGCACTGCCCGCTCGATTTAGCACAGAGGCTCCTGTAATCAGCTGCCAGCAGTAACCCACGTCTGCCCTCCTCGCCCAGCCCTGAGCTCATTTCCTGTGGCAGCACAGAGAGGGCTACAGGGAGTGTCCTCACCCCCACCAGCACTGGCTGTTTATTAGCACATCTGGCGGAATGCCGGGCGGGGCTTCCTCGGGAATGCTGAGGAATGAAGCTGTTTCCAGGGTTCAGGTCTCGGTTCCGACACCGGAGCTGAATGTTTTACTGAGCGGTTGCTCAAAGCAGTGCATTGAGACCATTCCCTCCCTGCCCCCCCAGCCTGTCCCGTTGCTGCCAGCCTGCCTGCCCCCCCCACCCTGCCAGTCTATCTGCCCCCACAGCTTGATCCCCCCACCAACCTGCCTGACCCTCTCCAGCCTCCCTGCCCTCCCCCTCGCCACCCACTTGCAGCATGTGACATGGTGGGGGCAGTTGGTAATCGGCTCAGCTGATGTGTAGTTGCACTCGAGAGTGAGAGCCTGACATGGGCTCAGAGTCCCTCTCTCACATCCCAGAGAGCTTTCCCAGCCAGCCTCAGAGATTCCCATTGTAACCAGAATACACAGCATGCGATGTTCGGCTGTAACTGTTCTGGATGTTTCTGTGAGTGAGCACAGAAGGTCGACAAAGATCTCTCTCTTCGCTAACGGACACGGATGGCACACTCACCAGACGTCTAATATTCAAACGGGATTCGCCAAATGGTCTCAGTGGAATCAGTTTGTGAAAGTTATAGCCTGGTGAACGACTAAACTGCTGGTCTAAGCTAACTGGGGAGTGTGGACGCACAGTGCAGAGAGAGCTTTACTCTGTCTCTAACCTGTGTTGTGGCTGAACCTGGAGTGCTGGGAGGACCTTGGTATGGAATGAGTTAATGAGGGTGTGGATCTTTCTGTTTCAGAGCTGGAGGCACAGGAGCTGTGTATTTGGCTGCGGGAGGCTGGATTTCCACAGTACGCTCAGCTCCATGAAGGTGGGTGTTAATAGCGCTCATTAACCATTTGTTGTTCTTCAGCTCAAGCAAAGATGGTGTCAGTTTACAGCCCTGAGAGATGTGCTTCTGACAGGGTTAAGGGGGCATTCACTCATGCAGAGGTTTGGAAGCGACCTGACAAAGGTCAGATCTTCTGAGAGGGTTAAACAGGGACATCAGCTGGGGATGGTATGGCAGCCTGGGCCAGTGAGCAAGCATGAGTACAGACACGATGGGGAGAAAGAGTGAGCAGAGAGTAGGGTTAGAGTAGAGAGCTTCAGTGGGAGAGCGAGCACCAGCACAGACACGATGAGGAGGGAGTGAGCAGGGAGTGGGGTTAGAGTAGAGAGCTCCAGTGGAGGAGCGAGCACCAGCATAGACACGATGGGCTGAATGGCCTCTTCCTATGCCAAATCTAGGAGGATTCTTCAGTTTTTGAATGGTTAAGGGTTGGAATTGCTATGTTTAATGCTACTTTTGTCAGCTTTGGTCTTTGATAAACACATACTGCACTGTGTTTATGTGGTGGACAATCACAGGAAATCCCGGCATCCTGGGAACCAGCCCGAGCCAAATCTCAGCCTGGTCCAACACTGCACTCTCATTGCCTTTCCTCAGCAACACTAGCTGTCACTGTGTGTGTGAGAGAGAGAGAGAAAGACTGACATGGAGGTGTGGAGTGTGGAGGGGAAGAGGTGGGAGTGAGTGCGCGGGGGAGGAGAGTTGGAGTGAGTGAGGGATAACCAATTGGTGTTTCCTGGACAGATTCCCAGTTTCCCATCGACATTAATGCTGTGAAGAATGATCACAACTTCCTGGACCAGGATTATGTGCAATCGCTCTGCAGGTAATTCTCACATTCACACTCGTGCACGCACACACTTGCACACTCACACACATGAACACACTCATATGCACGCACTCACATTCACACACGCACTCACGCACACTTGTACTCACTTGCACACTAACACACTCTCACACTCACCAACATACACACTCAGTGTTGTGTCTTAAACCGTGTGTTAAAACCTTACTCCAGGGAGCTGATTATTTTCCTCTTGGGGTACGGGGGTGAGGAGGGGTGGGTGGGGAGGGGTGGGTGATGAGGGGTGCCTTATTCCCTATTCCCCCCTCACTATCCTGACTTTCTTCCCGCTGTTATTAGGCGGTTGACCACTCTGAACCAGATTACCTCCATGAAGCTGGATATCGACATTACCAGGAAGTTGGTGAGTCAACTGCAATGTTTTGCTTACGCTCTTCCAACATCACCTTTCATCTTTGCCATATGGACCTGGCCACTCCCTCTGCTCAGTGGGCTCTGGGCTGCTCCACATCCCCCACCCAGCCCGTCCCACTATTGGTGGTCAGCCGCTCTGCCCGCAGTCCCTTCACCTCACCCCCTCCCTTCAAGGCCTGTGTCAAGATGCTCCTCTTCAACTGCACATTTGGTCACCCTCCTACCCCTAATCTCCCTACCCTCCACCCTCCTGAACCTAACCCCCAGCTTGGGTCCAAATCCCTAACTGTCCAGTACCTTGGGACATCCTCCCGATGTGAAACACGCCGTGTAAATGTAAAGAGCTGTCAGGTCTCGGCGCTCGGGTAACCAGGCCGACGCTTAACTAGGGTATGGTCACAATTCCCTCACACCCCAACACCCCCACCCCCGGGAGTTTCTGTCATGGTTCTCCCCCTCCACGGTTCTGTGGCTGATGTCTCCGTTGTTGTTTCAGGGTGATGGCTCTGAGGAGGATGAGCCGTTCGCCATCAGTGACCGCTGGGAGTTCCAGCGTGAGAGCAAGCGATGGTCTCGGCTCCCCGCGGGGTCCATGGGCTCAGACCCTGGGGTCCAGGCAGCCGGGAGAGCCTGCTGAGCGACCTGAGCTCCAGCCACAGCACATCCGCTGACAGTGTGCGGGGTGGCTCGGCAGTGCTCAGCACCCAGACCCTCAGAGACCCCTGTGTCGCCGTGAAAACCACTCCAAACTCTGTGGCCAAGCCCCGCAAACACAGGACCAAGAGCTTCCTGCGGCACATCGACTCTCTCCGCTGGAGGAGCCCGCAGACCAAAGTCAAAGCAGCTCAGGGCGGCACGGAGCCCACCCACAGCACCGTGCTACACAAAGTCCTGCCAGGCCAGGGCCCCAGGCCTCCACCCAGTGTCAATGGGGAGCCCCAGTCCTGGGAGGCAGGTGACTCCCCAGCCCCCAGCCTCACAGCGGGGCTTCGCAAAGGCTTGACCAGCAGCCGCTACCTGGAGGACTGCAAGCTGGAGGCTGCATCCTGCGGCCTGGGCTGGGATGACCAATCGGACGAGGAGCAGCTGGTCCGCATCCCCGCCAACCACAAGCCCGGAACATTCCCCAAAGCCCTGTCGCTGGAGAGCCTGTGCCCCGGCCACGACCAGCGACTGTTGTGGTGGAGGACAGAGAACCTGAGTGTCCGCGGGGGTGGGTCCTGTGGCTCGGTGGGCAGCCGGCACAGTGTGTACGATAACGTGCCCGAGGCCTGCCCGCTCAACCCCGCCTTCGACAACCTGGACGAGGTTCTGAGCCATGTGAATGGGGAGAGGCAGAGGGTGGAGGCCTGGTCCCAGGTGATGTGTCCTGAGCTGGAGGCCTCAGGCCCGGCCAGGGATAAGCCTGAACTGCAGGCCGGGGGCCCGGTCGAGAAGGAACCCGCCCTGTCGGGCAGTGATGTGGACACCAGCGGTGCCTCACTGACCGAGGGCGAAGACATGGAGATGAGGGAGAGGAGTGACTCTGGCGTGGGAGCCTCCCTGACCCGGCCCAACAGGTGGGAGTGCGCTCAGCTCAGGGCAGTAAACACTGCATTGGAAACAAGACTCCCCCCCCCCCCGTCGTCCGGGCCCTGTCAAACTGCTTGCACTTCCTCTTTGGAATAAGATCTGACCTTCAAATCTCACTTGAATTAAACAGTTTGTGTGTGTGTGTGCAAGGGAGTGGGGCGCAGGGTGTTTGTGTGTGTGTGGGGGGGTGGTGGTGAGGGGGTGTTATAAATAAATCAGAGCCTCTTCCATCCCCCCACTAGTCAGCCGAGCAGTTTCCGTTTCCAGCCCAGCTGCTCGCAATTGGAGCAGATTTCATCTCAACCAGTGGTTTCCTGCCTCAGCTGTTTGAGGGGCGTCAGACACACGGCTCTTAGGCGCACACGTACACACACTCCCCCCACATTCAGAGGAAAGCCTCCAGATCCTGGCAGGGACCCAGTAAGCGGAGCAACACACAGACCCCACTCCCACACACACAGACCCCCCCCCCCACACATAAACGCATAATAAAGGGCCTGCACCCAAGATGGGGGTTAGAGCCAAAAGGGGTGGAAGGCAAAGTGTGGGAGGGTGACCAAAGGCGCAGTCAAAGAGGAGCCTTGAAGGAGGAAAGGGAGGGGCCGAGGCAGAGGGGCTCCGGGATGGAGTTCTAATCAATCTTGTCGATGTTCAATTGGAGAAAATTAGCATCATATAAACCACTTGTATTTTTCTTTACTTTCTTTCGAAAACTTGTTTCTCAGGTTGTTTGTGACTGAGTCAGAGACCTGAAGCCTGAAAACCGGGTTCACATTGAGCTGTTCATATTTACCCTTCGCGGGGGGGAAAGGAGGCATACATCAGATCCCCTCCCCCTGCTCTCCCTCCCCACTCTGCCTCCTGTCTCCCGGCCCCTCTCCTTTCCCTGCCCCCTTTCTCCCACCCTTGCCCTTCTTTCTTGCCCTCAATACCCAGAAGCAGTTACAGAAAGTTACAGGTGAAAGTTCGGTCCATCATGTCTTTTCCCCCAAAATCCTTTTATATTTTTCAGTTTCAAATATTTTTCTGATTAGCAGCTAAAGCTGTTACACATTCTGTTCCCATCAGTGGCTGAAGTTTCACCAGAGTTTAAACAAAACCATGTCGGTGACGTTAACAAGGCTTTCTGTTACCAGGTTACCCCTCCGGGGAGGGGGGGGGAGGGAAAGAGAGGGGGTAAAGAGAGAGAGGGGGAGGGAGAGAGACAGAGTGGTGGGGGGGGGAAGAAAGAGAGTGAAAGGGGACAGAGACACAGGGAGAGGGAAAGAGAGAGAGTGGAGGTGGGGAGGGAGTCCAGTTTTGTGGCTGAAAGTTGTGGGTTTGATTCTAGGCAGTATTTCACATACAATGTATAGGTGAGGCTTCACCTGCTCTGCCAGCTGCACCCCACTGGCTCCCCCCCACAAAACTGCCCTTCCACAACCTCCCCCCCACCCCGGAGCCCCAGCAGTGACTGTAGCCAACCTGCTACTCACTGCCATGCTCTGCTATCTGCTCTCGGTGCAGCCAGTCTGCCTCCTGCAGGACATGCCTCCTCAGCCCGCTGGCAACATCCTCAAATCACAGCAGTTTATCATTTACTTTTAGCATTAATTTTATGGTCAATTTAACATGGAGAATGTCGGTGGTGGAGCAGAGAGTGTGTCCACGCCCCCAGGTCATGGTTAGAGACACAGTAAATCTCCCTCTTCACTGTCCTTACAGCCAGGGTGTATGTACAGGGTGGGAGTGCCTGTTGGTGTCTCTGGTTTCTGTGACTGGCGTGTGGTATGATACCCTGACCTAACAAACATCTATCCACCTCAGTCTGGAAATTGCAATGGATCCAACATCCACTGGCTTTTGGGCTTTAGCTTTGGGTGAACTCCTGTCTGTGTCTGTTCAGACAGACGTTAAAGATCCCGCAGCACAACAGATAAGAGAAAATTTCTCTCTCCCTGGGTCCTGGGCCACATTCCCCCGATAAAAATAAAATCACTCGTTGGCTGTTTACTAAGCGCACAATGGGTTCCGCGCTGGCCTCTACACACAGTCACTACACTTCACAGTAACATGTTGTGGAGCACTTTGAGGGATTCTTGTTATAAAGCAGTTTACAATAAAGGAGACTTTCCCCTGGACACAGACTCCTAACGACACAGACACTGTATGTCTGCCTGGCGCTGCCCCTCACACACAGAGCCAGGCTGTGTACAGTGAGCTGTGCCTCAGACACACTCTGTCTCCTTGTAACTCCCAAGCCAAACCCTGAGGAGCTCACTCCAATCTTCCACAGGCTGAGGAGAAAAAGCACTTTCCCAGACAGGAAGTCCTGCTGTGGGTGGTAGGGGGGGGGAGGACATAAAACAATGTGAGTTTTGGTCTATCTGTAGTTTGTAGTTTCCTCAGAGAGATTTTTTGTATTTTGGGAAAGACCGAGCGGCACTGAGGTGGGCGATGGGTTTACAGTCTGTCACAGCCTCTTCTCTGAGCACTGAGCTGAGCTCAGGCAGACAGGAAGTGTGTGCGCTGACAGGGTTCCAGTAAACCTGCTCGCACTTTCTTCATCGGCTCTTTATAGTCTTTGGACTCATTCCAAGGATCGAACCTGCTGCCACCCACAGCACACAGCACAGGAAGGGGCTCCTCATAGCACCTCTACTCTAATCCCATTCCCTACTCTCTCTGCCCATCATGTC